ATGGACAGTCGACTATGATCTGCAGCAAATATAATTCCTGCTTACTGGAATTTGGTATTCGACTCTTCACATTATAGAGTCGACTCTAATGGCAAAAAGAGTCGACTCTATATATGAAGAGTCGACTATGAGATGTAGCAAATACATTTCCCGCTAACTGGAATTTGGGAGTCGCCTCTTGATGCTTTATAGTCGACTCTCATAGCATGGAGAGTCAAATATGGACTGCTATATTCGACTCTTAAGCCCATTTTTCTGGTTTTTCAGAATTTGCCTTTTTTTTAGCAACATCAACGGTACAATCTGTATTGACTGGAGTATGAGACATACATTACTATCAAATAAACTTCAAAATCCTTCTATATACAATCACAAATTGTAAAAAATACTAATGATCCATTAAAACCGACATGCACATCAAACTTTAAAACAAGAACCACACATTGCCATTCAAGCACACTATGAACTACCAAATTGCTCGCCATCAATGGAAGCACATCAAAAACATAATCAACCAAACAAAATCATCACAATTATGATATGCTCATTTCTATTAAAGCTGAATCTACTGTCAACATTATATGTACATATTCAAATATATAAAAAGTCAGAACATTAATAAAACCTTCCAAACAGTGTTCATACACTAAAATGAGAATTTAACAGGCATCAACAACTGCAACATCCGGATTTATGCATCCAGATGTGAAAAGGGATCAGGTGGTTGCTGTTCGGAGGATGTGCCAGCAGTAGACGGATCTCCTCTTGTCCCTCGAAGACCTATAGGTGCTGCCATCTGACACTCGCGAATGTGATCATCGAGCTTCGATTCAATCCGTGTAAGTCTCTCGAGAATGAGCTGCATTCCTCTCTGTGTGCTTAATCTCTAAGGAACTCGAGATGAAGCAGCTTGTGAGGGACCTGCTTCTTCAGTTTCTTCGGCATGTTCTTCATCATCAAACCCCTCACCTTCATCATCTTGTCCTCCTCTTCTCCTTCTCTGCTTCATTTCCCACGAATTTGTTCTTGCATTGAATACATACCCCATTTTGTTCAGTGAACTCTTGTTCAGAAGCTCGTGACGGTATAAGTCTCGGGACTCCATACCACTCAAATCAACACCCGCATTTTCCATAAGTAACATGATCAGAGTGCCATACGCCAATGCGAGTGTCGATCTACCCCTATAATACACCATGTGTCTCATAATATGGTGTCCTAAATTGATCCACCTTTGGCTAAGAATATATGCAAACCACGCACAATCCGGACCACTAAATTTCCCAAAAGAACCTTGCCTTGGCAAAATTATGTGATTGTAAATCCAAAACATTAACCGATTCTCCAAATTCAAGTGGTGAATGCTTAATGTTTGTCCCTCATTCCACTCATTGCCCATGATAGATTTCTTTGCTGATTCCTCTGTAAATGCATGCAATTCCCTAGCTCTCTCATTTGGCAAATGTAAAACATCATTTATGGTTTCAGCATCAAATTCAAAAGTCTTCCTAAGAACTGTTGTTTTATACCCTCCATCCTCCGAGTCACTCAAATTTGCATAAAAAATCTTAATCAATTGCGGGTAAACCCTCACCTTTCTAGTTACTAATTCAGTCCATCCCATTGAATCTAACATTTCTCTTACATGCAGCACCCCTTTGCATATATCTTCCAAAACTACTCTAAACCCATAAATGACATTCCTATTTCCTAAATTTCTATATATATCCATAGCATTATGAAGAGTCGACTCTAAAGCCTCAAAGAGGCGACTATATATGACCAACATTCGACTCCTAAATTCCAGAGAGGTTTGAGCATCTGCTGCAGGTTAGAGTCGACTCTATACCTAAAGAGTTGACTCTACATCCTCAAAGAGTCGACTATAAATAAGCAACATTCGACTCCCAAATTCCAGAGAGGTTTGAGCATCCTGCTGCAGATTAGAGTCGACTTTATACATTAAGAGTCAACTCTAAATCCTCAAAGAGTCGATTATAAATAAGCAACATTCGATTCCCAAATTCCAGAGAGCAGGGGAAGTTCCCTGTGCTACGTATAGTCGACTGTGTTCTTTATAGAGTCGACTCTTAACCTATAACAGTCGATTCTAATATTAAAAAGTCGACTAAAGGTAAAAAATTACAACAACTTTATATGAAATATACATATATTCGTTAACACATATTTTTAGATAATTTTGTATT